TCATTGTTGTTTGGTGGGCCCGGGCTGGGGATTTGAACCCGCCACCCTAGGTGTACGTGGCTAGCGCCTTAGCTGCTTGAGCCACAGGCGCCGAGCGTTTATTTTTTATTAAATCATAGCAGTGTACATTAATACTATAGTGGGGTACAGCGTACTGTTTCTGTATACAATTTGAAATATTTTGCTTTGGTTAACATAGCCTTCATGTCTTTTTCTTAGTTATTGTGTTAAGACATTTATATTCTACACTTAGAGAGATTCACCTATACCCTTACAGGATGAACCATAGGCATTACAATACTTATTGATATATTGGAATTGAGATTTTTGTACTGGTATTGGTATTGACATTTTGCACTTTTGAAAAGAATACTCAAGTTGTAGGAGATGAATGGTCAAAGACCAAAGTAAAATGTGGCAAGAAGAAACAGCATAGAATGTTAGGCATGAAGTTTTAGATTTTCTTTCTTTCTTTTTTTTTCTTGTTTAGAGACAGGGTCTTGCTTTGTTGCCCAGGCTGGAGCACACTGACATCATCACAGCTCACTATGGACTTGAACCTGGACTTAAGCCATTGTTCTGTCTCAGCATCCCAAGTAACTGGGACTGTAGTCAGGTGCCACCATGCCCAGCTAATTTTTAAATTTTTTGTAAAGGTAGAGTCTTGCTATGTTGCAAGGCCTCAGCCTCCCAAACCACTGGGTTACAGGTGTGAGCTACTGCCTGGCCTAGATTTTCAATTTTATTACTAAGATAAACAGATGAAGGAAGAGGAGAAAAGAGAAAAAAGGAGAAAGTGGTTACCTTTTTACACATTTCTGTCTTGATCTTGAGCAGGTTGACCTTGAGGCATTCCTCTACTTGACCTGTCTGCTCCTGGGCTGCTGCTTCTTCAGCACATAGACTGGAGATCTATGCAGGAGACACAAAAGACAAGGCCACCCCTCTGAGCACACAGAAAAGCAGCAGAGACTGGTGACTCCAACCAGCCCTGGAAATGGCAGTATCTGTGGCCCCTCTTCACTGGCCTGCTGTTGTTTCACAGGCAAGGGGTGGCACTGCTATCACCAGAATCCTTCTCTTGGTTTAAACCTGTTTTTTTTCTTTGAGACAGTCTCAAGTTGTTGCCCTTGGTAGAATACCATGGCATCACAGCTCATAGCAACCTCAAACTCTTGGGCTTAATCAATTCTCTTGCCTCAGCCTCTCAGTAGCTGGGACTACAGGCACCCGCCACAGTGCCCAGCTTTTTTTTTTTTTGTTATTGTTTATCAGGCCTTGGCTAGGTTCAATCCTACCAGCCTGGTGGCATGTGGCTGGTGCCCTAACCACTGAGCCATGGGTGCTGAGTCTCTAAACATGTTGATTAGGCTGTCCTCTTACATATGAACCCTGTTTGTCTCAAACAGTCCCCTGATGGATTTCCCATCCCTCGTCCTGTACTGGATGTCAGGATCCTTTCTCCTTTACTATTAATGGCATGCAAAGATGAGAATCAGTAAATGCTCACATCTTTAGGCTGTCAATCCTGAGACTGCATTCAGATCCCAGTTCTTGTCACTGGAGTAGAAGCCTACTCCTTAATTCCATTGGTTATACAGTCAAGTAAAACGCAAAAAGCAAATGTTTGACATTTACAGAGGTTTAGGGTCAACCCAGAGTCACAACTTGGGTGTGCACACGTGAGCACACACATATATACACACAGAACATATATATAAGGTTTTGAATGATATCTCATAGCAAAGACAAAAAACTTAACTTTTGGCTTAGCATGTACAGCACAGTAGTTACAGTGCCAGCCACATACACACTGGTGGGTTCAAACCCAGCTCAGGCCAGCTAAACAACAATAACTGCAACAAAAAAATAGCCGGGCATTGTGGCAGGCGCCTGCAGTTCCAGCTACTTGGGAGGCTGAGGAAGAGAATCGCTTAAGCCCTCGCAAACAAACAAAAAAACAACTTAACTTTTTTTTTTTTTTTTTGAGACAGAGCCTCAAGCTGCCCCCCTGGATAGAGCGCAGTGACATCACAGCTCACAGCAACCTCCAACTCCTGGGCTCAAGTGAGTCTCCTGCCTCAGCCTCCCACGTAGCTGGGACCACAGGCGCCCACCACAACGCCCAACTATTTTTTTGGTTGCAGCCGCCACTGCTGTTTGGCGGGCCCTGGGCTGGATTCGAACCCGCCACCTTAGGTATATGTGGCTGGCGTCTTAGCCACTTGAGCCACAGGCGCCGAGCCACAACTTAACTTTCTTAAAACAGTTTTATGAATTTCTTTCAAACAACCTTAGTTATGGTCTCCTAAAACTGACATATATTAAATAAAGTTCTCTGTATGGATTTTCCAAGCTAGGAAGTCCAATAATTTCCTAGGATAGGCCCTTCTGTAGAGCCAGCAGGTTAATAAATATGAAATGTTCAATTTCAGGTTTTTTCTGTTTTTTTTTTTTTTGACAGAGTTTTACTTTGTTGCCCTTGGTAGAGTGCTGTGGTGTAATAACTCAGCCTTCTACGTGCTAGGATTGTAAGCATGAGCCACCGTCTTTGGCCACGATTAGCTTTTTCTAATGAATATTTGCCTTTTTTTTTTTTTTTTTTTTTTGAGACAGTGTCTCCCTCTGTTACCCTTGGTAAAGTGCCATGGGATCACAGCTCACGGCAACCTCACACTCTTGGGCTCCAGAGATCGCTAGCCTCAGGCTCCCTAGTAGCTGGGACTATAGGTAGCTGCCCTGATACCAGGCTAGTTTTTCTATTTTTAGTAGAGATGGGGTCTTGCTCTTACTCAAGCTGGTCTTAAACTCTTGGGCTCAAGCAATCTGCCCACCTCAGCCTCCCAGAGTGCCAGGATGAGTCATAGCACCTGGCCTGAAGATCTGCTTGTGGACTGTGTTTTGGAATTTCATCTTTATCCAGCCATTGTGCTTAATGCTGTGACTGTGAAGAATAATCAATTTTTAAAACATGTAAGAATACTATATAGAAATGGTTCACCTTTATGTAGTGACAGCAAAGAAAGGCAAGCTTTGAGGTAATTCTTCTTCCAACACACTTGTTTAATTCATGCAGAACCCATCTATCCAGCTTCTTCTTTTTTTTGAGACAGAGCCTCAAGCTGTCGCCCTGGGTAGAGTACCGTGGCATCACAGCTCACAGCAACCTCCAACTCCTGGGCTCAAGCGAGTCTCCTCCCTCTGCCTCCCAAGTAGCTGAGACTACAGGTGCCTGCCACAATGCCTGGCTATTTTTTTTATTTTGGTTGCAGCCATCATTGTTGTTTGGTGGGCCCAGGCTGGATTTGAACCTGCCAGCTCAGGTGTATGTGGCTGGCACCTTAGCTGCCTGAGCCACAAGTGCCAAGCCTCTATCCAGCTTCTTTTCCTTGCTGATATATTCCAAATGGTCCAGTATTATGGGAATAGTAACATTAAACCTTATTGCTAATTTACATTGTAGATGGAGACAAATTTGCTTCCACTATAGCTTTCAGCACGTTCTTATCCACCTGGTCTCAGGTCACCCATTTGGCTCATTTTCAAGATTAAAATTACCACAACAGAACTTTTCAAATCATCCGTGTATTGTGTATTCATTAACCACATCTCTCCCAAATATTTCACTGATATTTTGTGCTGTGTTGCACTGATTTCATGATGGAACTAATATTTTTTTTTTTTTTTTT